ATTTAAAGCATTAAATCTAAGTTTGTTTTCTGTTTTAAAAGCATTGTAAAACCAAAACACAGAAAGTGTTTTGCACATTTCCCCTTTTAAAGAAATTCACTAACAATGCAGATTCTTTAAGGCATGACTCAATAAGAGAAAAAAGAGTTTCCTTTACAAATAATTGCTTTATCTCAACCAAAGTTAATGAGTTGATGGGTGGTTTGGGTGTATCAAAATGTTTTGTGTAAAAGTGACTAAATAGACGTCTTTATACCATGACGCATGTTTATAAAAAAAATGGATACTTCCTATTGCACCATTTTAATCATAATTTTTCATTCATATTTTGTCTGCAATAATTCTGCCCTGTAAAAAAAAAAAGTAAAAAACAAAATTTTTTACATTTTTTAGGATGAAATTGATTGATTGATTGACTTTTTTGGTCTCACAGTGGAGAAATTTACTCGTTACATTGGCTCAGATAGAAAAAGGTTCATGGGGGTATATACAGTATATACAGTATATACGGTGCATATATACACAGCTGAAGTTTTTTTTCTTTTGTTTTTTAAAACAGGATTATTATGCAGGTTTATTGCACAGGTTATTTGCATGGGTATTTATATAGATGGGTATTTATCTATATAGCCATTGCACTGTGTGACATATTGCTATGGCTTAACATATTTGAACCCTTCATGGCTTTAGCAAAATTTCAGAAATCTGCTGAACCTAGTTTCTTTTTGAAAGGTAACTTCGCCCCACCTAAACAATAAACAGAAGGCGGTCGTTGGATTTAACAAGGCATCAAAAATAGGCAGAGAAATCTTGCTTCATATTTTTTCAATAGGATCATGCAGTTACTGCACATCCATGGCAGCCAAACATCCTAAAGGGTCTCTATTGGACAGAGTTCTGGTGACTGTTTGCACTATTATTGTCATGTTCAAGAAACCATTTTAAAATACTTTAAAGTTTGGGCCATGATACATTATCCTGCTAGAAGTAGCCATCAGATGGTTTATTCTCTTTGCACAAACCATCAAAATAACAAAAAGATGTAGTCAATGTCTGACTAATTCTAAGACACTGAATATGTGCCAAGAAAATATTCTTTGTAACACCGCAAGCAGTCTAAACCATTTATGCCAGTAATATGCAAATAATGCTGCTGAAACCAAGAGATGTCTGACCAAGGAGTTTAACATGTAGCCATTTTTAAAATATTCTTAATCAAAAATGCCACTTTTTGCTTTCCTACCTCTGATCAGGTACTCTTAAGACTACCAGCTACAAAGACAAATGCCTTCAACTGGACGCCACAATGATCACCGCCTCTGGCAGTGAAAACTGTCTTTACCTCAATATTTGGGTTCCTCATATCAACACAGGTTAGTACTTAGATTTACTCATGATCAAATGAGACTGACATTAAGTGCTATGTGCTCTTTTTTCATAGTGGCCTCCAATCTGCCAGTCATGGTCTGGATTCACGGTGGAGCTTTCATGTTTGGAGACTCAAAGGGAACTAGCTTCATGGATACCAATTTGTATGATGGACAAGAAATTGCTGACAGAGGAAATGTAATTGTGGTGACGGTGGCCTACCGTGTAGGAGCGCTTGGCTTCCTGAGCACTGGCGGCTCTGATCTGCCCGGTAGGTGCCCTTTACAAAGATCTAGTTGTTCACCTAATTTGTCTTCTAATAATGATCTTGTTGGATCTGGTGTAGGAAATTATGGACTTTGGGACCAGCATGCTGCCATTGCATGGGTGAACAGAAACATTAAGTCGTTTGGAGGAGACCCCAGCAACGTCACCATCTTTGGCGAGTCTGCAGGAGGAGCTGGTGTTAGTTATCAGGTCAGAGGATATTTGTTGTGTACAGCAAATTTTGCAGGGATGAAAATGTAATTAATACATCTTTCAACTTATTTAAAAAAAATATGTTTCAGAGTATCACCCCTCACAACAAGGGGCTTATTAGGAGAGCAATCTCTGCAAGTGGGGTCTCCCTTTGCCCATGGGCCATCAACAGAAACCCTCGCCAGTATGCTGAACAGGTACTAGATCTTGTGACTTATTTTTAGTGTTGATTATTTGAAACATTAGCGATTTGACATTTTAAGAGCCTTTCTTCAGGTTGCTCAGAGAGTCAACTGCCCCACGGATAGCAGGATGGCTTCCTGCCTGAAAATGACAGATCCCGTTGTTTTAACTAAGGCTGGAACTGTGTCTCTGGCTAGCTCTCCCGACCGTAAGCTCTACACATATGTCATGATATGTTTGCACTTTTTGTTGGTGTTAGTTTAGTGGTTCAAAAGAATGATTTTATTAATGCAATGCTTTTACGTCAAAGTTAAAAACCCATTTGTTTAGAACTACCCTTGATTTTTGAAGTTAAACGTTTAACTGAGGTATTCTTATTTTAAGTTTGTGGTCCAGCTGTTTTTGTTTGTTTTACTACCTGCCTTTATCATGTTTTGTATATTTACTTGATATTATTCTGCTTTCATTTTACCTTATATTTTATTGTTTAATTCATGAAAAGCACTTTGAGTTTAGAAAGCTAAGCTAATTGACAGAGAAAGCTAAGGGTTGGTGGATATGCAAATTTTCTGCATAATCAGAATTGCTCTTTTGTCACTGTGCCAAACACAATTAAATTAGCCCATCAAAGAGACACAATAAATACAAGACAATGGTCCAAGCCCCAAGCCCCCCTCAGCTATAGTTCCTGATAAAGATGTGGTGTCCATTAGGTCAACCTTGGTTGCTCCCAGACACCAGAACACAGATTTAGGAGAATGATATGTAGTTGAAGGAGCAGAGCATCTGTTTACATAACATCCAGGATAAGGGGAGATAGCCAGCCTTCAGGGCCAGTATACTGTATGGTAAAATCATTTAAGAAAATGGCAGTTTTTTTTATTTCTTTTAAAAAATTGAAGCTAAAAAGAAAACTTGAGGTTAATATAAAGTGAAAACTGTAGTGACAGGCATTTATTCAGCTCATTCATCTAAGTTGTATCTCACTTGGTCAGACCCATATGTCTTGAACCTGCTTCTGTCTCCTGTGGTCGATGGAGACTTCCTACCTGATGAGCCATCCAAACTTTTCCACAACGCTGCTGACTTGGACTACATGGCCGGAGGCAATGACATGGATGGCCACATGTTTGCACAGTTCGATGTGCCGTCGATCAACTCTCCGATGTTTATCACCACTTCGTAAGTTCAAGTTGAACCTGTGAGTTTTATATCAACTCAGTTTTCTTTAAGCTTGGTTACACGTGGTCAGATTTCCTTGCAATCTTTTAAAGTAATATTGATCAGTTGTTCTGTTAAGTTTCTGTAGGTTCAGACTGGCTAAAATCAAGAAAAAAACAAACCAAAGTGTCTGTGAACTGCTGTTGGTAACAAACATCATAAACATCAACTTCACCTGAAAATAGTTCAGAAATAAAGCTTACAACTATCAAAAAACAAAACTTCAAGGACCACATGGCCACTTTATATAATAGTAAAGAAGTTAAACTGTTCACTTTTGCAGTGTATTAGATGCATTTCATCATATCATTGTCCATAATTCTCCTTCTGGCTGAAGCGATGAAGTCAGAAGGCTCTTAGGTGCCCTAACCAAGGAGAAGGGTGCCGCTGGTTACGAGAATGCCTTCGCTACCTACTCCTCAGACTGGGGAAACTATCCCAGCCAGGATACCCTGAAAAAAACTGTTGTGGCCATTGTAACGGACTACATGTTCCTAATTCCCACTCAGACTGCTCTTTATCTCCATGCTGCCAATGCCAGGTGAGAATCAGATCTTCATTATAAATAGCTCCTTGCAATGTTAAGAGAGCTTAAAGGAATAGTACACCCAAAACATGATTAGCCTTCATTTTCTACTCACCCCCATGCTGAACAACACTCTGGAGTACTTTTTTG